GATGTTGAAGTGGTCAGGACCTTGCCCGAAGTAGATAAAACTGCAGGCATTGCCGAAAAAGAACTCAAGGTAGGTTAAATCACGTCGTATTATTACAGGTGTTAATAGTATATGAGAATGTTTATCTAGCCTGCATAGCAAAGGCGTTTCTGTGCGGTTTCGCGCGGCCAAAACCGAAAATTCCGTAACGGAAACGCTTGCTACGCAGGCAAATATTTATCTGTCACGATTTTATCCTCTCTAACAATCGTTTTGTTAACGAGATCGTTTAATGTCTTTTAAATGGATTCGTGTGGACAAAGTCTTAGCTATACTAAAGAATTAAGCCATGGTAAAGGTAGTACGGACCGGCTGGAGTTGTAGGTAGAAGACTTTGTGGATCATTTTACGTTTCTGAAAACTGCCCACCTACCCCCCCCAAGCCAACATTAACACTTACTTCTCACTTAAGGCAAAATATTGGTTTAGGGGAGGGATAGGTGGAAAGTTTCCCAGAAACGTAAAATGATCCGACTTAGTTTGCTTGTTTCATGCCCTGTTCAGCCTGTGTGGGTAAAAAAATACACTTTATGTCAATGTTGTATTTAAAGCACTAATTGGTATTCAAAATCTTGAGACATTTCAAGATTTGTAATGGAGAATCTTGAATTTTTTTTTAGAATGTCAAAACTTAAAATTTCAATATTCTGTACGTAAAATTTCGAAATGTCAATATATTCTGAATGTCAAATATTAAAATTTCATGATTTGGTAGCTAACCAATGACTAATTATAGCTCACCGTAATGATATTATATAATTCTGTAAATAACTCACCATGTTGCCTTTGAAACCCCAACTTACCTTGTCTTGTTTTTCAGCATATCCTACGGCAGGTTTGGTTGTCTTGACTAAGGTGAATTGCACGTCAAGTGTGATAAAAGATTACCGGAAAAAAAATAAAATAAAATCCGTCCATGCAATCAGTTGTCTAATAAATGTGTTAACTTGAGACTTTTTTGTTCTAAATTTATTTTGTGTACATTACCAATTTTTCACGAACTCGTGTTGAACATGACAGATATGAAAACGATTAGCCGTGTTCCCCAGTGATGGAGAGTCATTACAATACGGAGAAGAATATCGAAAGCCTTTTAATTGATATCCTCTTCTGAAGCTATTTGTTCATTTTCAAATGCAAGTAGGATTTTTTTCGCGTTGGAAGGGTTTCTGAAATCCCTTAAAAAGCACACGGAAAATATAGACCAAAGTTTTCTGTTGTTTTTCCCTTATCATGATGATTGAAATACATGGCTCTATAGGAGGCACCCAACGATTGTTTTCTGTAAAATATCTGTTCGAAGAAGCAAAAATTGCCTAGAATTTTCTGGAGCTTGGCAATGGGGAGAGGAATCAGAAAATGCTCGCTTTCGTAAAACTACAAATTTCATCTAAAATTTTCGGGAAAATAATACTGAAGACCTTGTAGTTTGGAAAAGATCACCGAACAAATTCACTGAATTTTATAGCGCCGCTTAGAATGCATTTGTAGAGATCTAAAAGTACTCTGGATAGTCTAAAAAGTATTTTCAATGGACTTGTTTAGGAGAAAACCGTCGTTGGTTGCCCCTGGTTCTAAGTGTTCTTTTCTGTATATTCAATCTGACGAAAAATATGCTTTACTCACTTTTTACTTTTAGACTGCTCATCATCAGCACTTACCAATAATCAGAGTCATTTTTATTATTTTTATGAACTATTTCTTATGTGAAGAGGTTGCTTTACGCTGAAGGAGACTTTTCTCAGATTTAGTTATTAAACAAATACATGTATTTTAACATGTACAAGCCATACTTCACCTGGGTTCCACTCATTCGTCAGCAATAAAGTTATCAAATAAACCGTTACCAACAGAAGCAAAATTACTCCAAGTATTTTCACCTTTCGAATGTGTAGGACAGCCGTGGAAGGATTGAAAGGAAGAGACATCTTTTTGTTTCTACGACACGACTTCTGGCTCCTAACATGTATGAATATTATTAAATATGCATGCAGACGACCTACTTGTATTCTGGGTAGAACGTATTTCGTAGAGCGCTCAATTCATTTAATTGAACAGCATTGACTATTAATAATCACAGGAGTTCAGGCTTCAGGAGTAATCATTGATCGTGCAGATGACCTACGTGCATTAGCATTCTATTTGGTAAGCCTGCAGCAATTAAGTATAAATTGCGCAATCATGACTTCGCTATACCTCTCTCCTCTGCACAGGCCTCTTTGAGTTGTTGGGAGACTGGGGAGAAAGAAAAACGCGGAATCGTCCCCCGCGCGCTTTCTATTTTTTGGATACCCAGTGGGAGCATCTGCGAAGAGGAGAGTCGCTATACCAAGATTTAACACAGTCTCCTTTGGAAAGCACTCGCTCATGTATATGGGCCCAAAGGTATGGAGCTCTGTTCCTTGTAACGTGAAAGAAGCTTCCATTCCATAAACTTTCTGTTTTTTCTTTTTTTAATTAACTAATTTATTTATTTATTCTTTTTAATGTTTTTTTAGTTTCCCCCCTTGGTGGCTCTTCACCGCTATTACAGATTGATACTTAAACAAAGGTATCATTATCATCATCATCATCATCTAACGATTTCCCAGATGGGATGTACGTATCTAGCTGTACCGTTGTAGTTATGTCCTATCTTGTGAACATGTCGTCTGACGTAATGTGATATGGAAGCCAATCAGGTTATGCAATGTATCGTGATAGTCGCGGCATAGGACTGGAAAAGAATCTCCGTTGCAGTTTGGTCTTCGAGCAAAATTTGCAATTCTAGCGGGTCGGGGAAGGTAGTAAAATTTGTCTTGCAAGGTTAAGTAAACACAACTGCAACGCTACATCTAGCCTGCGAGCAAGCTCTCTGGGGAGCTCTTTGGTGGGCCCTGTGCAAAGGATACACCCGTGAGACGACGACAACAAGAAAACGTCACTACGAGTAGATTTATACTCATGTTAAGCGTGAAGACTCCCCAGGAGAAAGGAGAAGCCGTTACGTCACGTTACCATGGTAGCAAAATCTGGATCGGACAACAAACAGAAAGCGTGAATTCGCACTCAGTTTTTCAAACTTTATTGATCTTGTTCAACTTCATTTAATTTGCCAAATGTTAGCGAAATTTCCTGGCGTTGAATCGAACAGAACCGTATCTGAGTTAAGAAAGAAAAGGAACATTACTGTGTTGTGTTTACTTACTCCATAAAACAGGCCCGTGATCAGGACATTTCATGTCGCCGTCGAGCAATGACAGCTAAGAATTGTACAATACGCGTGATGAACGTGCAAAGTTACCTTATTACAGAAAATTAACGCTCCGTGAAATTAAGGTATTAGAAATTAACGCGACGTAGTGTAGTGTTAGTCATTGTCTTAGTCTGAAAAACAGCCGAAGATATCACGTTAACCGTTGCCAAAACGAACAGACTAAAAAGAATAGCATTTTTTACAGTAATGTATATCAGACGATTTTATTAGGTGATTTTTTTTTCCAGATTACATTGTAGAGTTTAAGCAAGATCATTTGTTGTCATTTCTAAAGGTTTATCCGCTTCACCTCTAGATAAACTATTTCGAGTATCTGTCTACTTCATTGAATGTTCTCCCTTATTCCCATATGGCTTAGTATGTCAAAAGGTCCCATGCACGAGCGAGTCGATTTCAGGTAGCTTGCGTGGGTAGCAGGAGCCCCAGTCTCCATTCGGAGGGGGAGCTGACCGCGGGCACATCGAAACACCCACGGCTGGAGACTGAGCCTAGCGAAACAGACTCTTGTAAGTAACACGGACACAAGAAAAAAAAGGGCGCGCGACGTGAGAGGGAACGTGTTCCCTTCAAGAGCCCCGTTCTTTCTTGTGCCCATATTATTTATGCGCGCCTGGTAAGCAGGCTAAATTTCAGGCGAGTGTAATACCTGCCCGTTAACACTATTCCGACCAAGACCTCTAATTTAAAAATCGGAATTACTTTCCTCGTAGATATGTATTTGCTATAGATACTGGCTTTTTAATCGTGCATAATATCGGATAGAGGCCCTGGGAAATCGTAATTAAACATTTCAACAAGTCTTCTTCAAAGGGCTTACCCACCTGAGCGATCTTGTCCTTGGGTATCGGGTCATAGTTTTTAAGAAGTTGACTTGTAGTATTGTGGGTATGAAACGGAGGAAAGGTCGCCGCCCGATCCATTCCTGTTTGCCAGTAGAAAGAAGAAGCCGTTACGTCACGTTACCATGGTAGCAAAATCCGGATGACAACAAACCGAAAAGGTGATCAGGATATTTCATGTCGCCGTCGAGCAATGACAGCTAAGAATTGTACGATACGCGTGATGCACGTGCAGAGTTACCTTATTAGAGGAAATTAACGCTCCATGAAATTAAGGAATTAGAAATTAACGCGACGTAGTTCTTTACAGTAATGTATATCAGACGATTTTATTACGTGATTTTTTTTTCCAGATTACATTGTAGAGTTTCAGCAAGATTATTTGTAGATCATTCTTAAAGGTTTATCCGCTTCACCTCTAGATAAACTATTCATAGTATCTGTCTACTTAATTGAATGTTCTCCCTTGTTCCCATATGGCTTAGTATGTCAAAAGGTCCCATGCACGAGCGAGTCAATTTCAGGTAGCTTGCGTGCGTAGCAGGAGTCCCAGTCTCCGGCCGGGTGTGAATCGGCGGGCGCATCGAAACACCCAAGGCTAGAGACTGAGCTTTGCGTAGCAGACGCTTGTAAATAACATAGACGCAAAAAAGAAAAGGGCGCCCGATCGACGTAAGAGGGAGCGTATTCCCCTTTGAGAGCCCCGTTCTTTCTCGCCCCTATATCATTTATAAGCGCCGGCCAAGCAGGCTAAATTTCAGGCCAATGTAATACCTACCCGTTAACACTATTCCGACCAAGACCTCTAATTTAAAAATCGGAATTACTTTCCTCGTAGATGTGTATTTGCTATAGATACTGGCTTTTCAATCGTGCATGAGATCGGATAGAGGCCCTGGGAAATCGTAATTAAACATTTCAAAGTCTTCTTCAAAGGCCTTACCCAGCTGAGCGATCTTCTCCTTGGGTATCGGGGCATAGCTTTTAAGAAGTTGACTTGTAGTATTGTGGGTAAGAAACGGAGGAAAGGTCACCGCTCGATCCATTCCTGTTTGCCGTAGGATATAAGGTGCTTCTTCTGTCATGTCCTCAAAATGACCGATGAAATCGTACTTTATATCACATGGGTGACAAATTGGGCCGTACGATCGCCAGTGTGCATCTCGATCAAACCCAACATCACTCACATAATAAATGAACTTCTTAAAAGTAAGATACTGGTCGGAGCTATAAGAACTAGGTTCGTCTTGTTTGTATCTTTCCAAAATTTTCGTTTTATACCTTTGAATTCTTCTCCAAGACCATTTGTTGTTTACAAACTTGTTATTGTAGGCTGACAAAAGCCTCTCGAGTGGTTCGCGAACAAATAGAAACTTAAAGTAAGATTTTAGCCTCACTTTAATATCCTCGTCCGAATAATCATATAAGAGAAATTTATAATGTTTGTTCTTATGCAAATCATCCACATCGGTGCGGTTATCAAGAGCAAGAAAGACACGTTTCCATTGACTGCAGGCCACCTTGGGAATATAGCAGAAGATTACTTTGTACTCATCGTTAACAATTATAGGATGATCGTATCGATCGCTTCGATTTCTGCTTGAAGCGTGCTTCTCACAGTAGTCTCTGAGTCGCTGCTGTCGCTCAGCTTGTCTCTTTTTAATCCGCTCCAAAAGGTGATCATCCTTCTCTATCTGAAAAGTGGATTGACTAACGTGAGAGCCTTAGCCAGAAGGTTCGATTAGAAATCAGGAGAATCAGGATTAGCTTAGTCGGTAGGGGCGCTTAAACCGTGTAAACTGGCACCCAAGTACTGTCCCTAATTAGTACTTTAAATACAACATCGACACTCAAGTAAAGTTCATTTTTTACACAAACAGGCTGAACAGGACATGAAACAAGCAAAACATTTTATGTTTCTGGGAAACTGCCCACCTACCCCTCCCTTAAGCCAGCACTTTGCCCTAAGTAGGAAGTAAGTGTTAATGTTGGCTTAGGGGAGGGGTAGGTGGGCAGTTTCCCAGAAACGTAATCTTCTACCTACAACTCCAGCCGGTCCGTACTACCTTTCCCATCTCTTAATTCTTTAGTATAGTTGAGACTTTGTCGACACGAGTCCATTTAAAAGACATTAAACGATCTCGCAAACAAAACGATCGTTAAAGAGGATAAAATCGTGACAGATAAATATTAGCCTGCGTAGCAAGAGTTTCCGTTACGGAATTTTCGGTTTTGGCCGCGCGAAACCGCACAGAAACGCCTTTGCTATGCCGGCTAGATAAACATCATTCTCCTACACTACTAACACCTGTAGTAACACGACGTGATTTAACCTACCTTGAGTTCTTTTTTAGCAATGCCTGCTGTTTTATCTACTTCGGGCAAGAACCTGACCGCCTCAACATCTATGGAGAAAGTAATGTCAGTTACAGGGACAACAAAGATGAAAAATAAAAATTATTATCGAGTTAAAATAAAGCCTCTCTTTAACTGCAATTTCTCTCGACCAATAGTTATCATTATTGCCCGCGCGATAATGAAATCGGCCAGCGGACGTTAAATTTCCTCAAATCCTTGGCCTGCCCTTGGCGTTTCCTTGACAAGAGTCCTTGATGAGTCATTACCGCTAACAAATATCAATCCTGACAAGTGTTCAGTCTTGATAGCTCTCCTTGTTAAAATGCTACTCGCCAGTTTTTTCGTCAGGAGAGCTGCCAAGGACAACTTCTGTAGGAAACATCTCTGACGTTAATTAGCCATAAAAGGCCATATATATCTGTTGCCTAATGAATATGTGATTAAAACCTTTCTGTTAATAATATCTAATAAAGGAATATTGCTTATCCAAATAATCGCAGCATTATATCATGTGTTGAGCCAAGAGTGATTGATTCACCTTCAGTCGTAGCCATTAAGTAATGGTTTTAACACATTTAAAGGAGAAAAAATGCAAAACATATTTATTTAACGAGACATTTTAATTTCTGAGTTTCAAACTTTCATTACCCAAGGCTTTCTGTGAAAAAAATAAAAATAAAAATAAAAAGTTGGACACTGACTATTTTGGAAAACCTTAAGGTAAAAAAGAAGTAACAAATGTAAAGACGGGAGTCTCCAATAGACAGTCATTTCATCGCTAGAAACTCTGGCTAGTTTCAAGTTAATGCAGGAGATGGCGATTATTTTTCTTTGTGAGGAAAGTTTGATCGAAACGAATTGCAGAACAGCAAGTTACATGCATTACGTTTGAAGTATTTCTTGGTCCAGTCGAGTGTTCCAAGTGGGTAAAGAAGCGTTCAACTGAACATTAATTAGAAAAAAAAGCAGGAAGGATTCAGTTAGGTAGTGAACTGTGGCAGCAGGTTTGATACACGTAATTTCCTGCCGCATACTTATCTGACGAAAGGAAAGTGCGCGGAGTGAAGAACCATTTTTCTATTTTTGAAGTTAGTTAGTTAGCCAACAAACGAATAACGAAAATCCGTGTCCTTTATCGGTCAAGATATATACAAGAATTGAAATTTGAAAAAGGTAAAATGGTAGCTTACCTTGGTACAGAGCAACCATGTACATGGCCAGCAGAATCAGTAAAATGATCAGAGATACAAACAAATTTCTCCGAAGTCGAACAGCCATTAAAGAAATGAAAATAAGATACGTTGTCGGTGGATATTCAACAGTTGATCATTTGTTTGTTGCTCAGCTTTGCTTTATCGTTTGTAAGGTATTTCTCTTTACCTTCACATATGCGCAGTACTGACTCTGATCACGTGCCTTACGATATTTACTCGAATAAAGCAGCGGAGCTCATTGAACTTTTCTTCTTGCCGCGCTTTGTTTGGGGGCGGCGTTTATTTGGAAACAAAGCTTATTCAAAACCTCTTATTTGCCAGTAACACAGTACCACGCGCACGTTATTATCTCTGTTTAGCAAGGAGCCCATTCAAAGTTATTTCAAATTGTCTGTACCATATTTGAGATGGAAGCCCAAAAGCGGAGCTTCAACTAGCCTAACTGGACGTATTTACTTGAAACAATAAACTTGAAATCACTACAAAGCAACCTTGTAAAAAATGTATATGTATGTGTGGTTTCAAAATATCAGGTTTCGTGTGGAAAGGGCCTTACACTCGGAGTACATTAACATTATTGACACTTAATTGAGGGGCCGCTTACAGGGCTTTCCACAAGTTGCTCGGCAACTTTTTGGCAACTTCTCGTATTTCGAGCCTCCGATCTCCTCGAACGCACGCGCACCAACTCCAGCTCAATCATCACTGTTCCTCTTCGCAGTTGGAGTCAATCTCAAGGCAACTTTGGGTATCCTGTCACTGGGTATCCTTAGGACATGACCAAGCCATTGCAGTCTGTGGTTCTTGATTTAATACTGTCCCAGTTCTTATGCCGTTCCTTATTAGTGATCTTGTTGGTTCAGTAGTTCGACTTCCAGATGTTGCAGAATCGACCGAAAGCACTTCTGGCTTTAATAAGGCGAGCTTTGGTGTCTTTATGGGCACCATTGTCATTACTAATAAGGCTTTCGAGATAAGTGAAATGGTCAATGCAATCCAGCTCAGTAGTTCCTTTCCACTGATGGTGATTGGGAGTGTTGTAGGGGTATTGACATCAGTAAATCACCTGGGTCTTTGTAACGATCATGAGCAGACCGGTTTGCTTTGCAAAATTGTTTTGTCGGTTGCATTTTTCCCTCAGATGGTTGAGTGGCTGACATGTCTGCCAGATCATGGGCAAAGTCATGTTCTTCTAAATGTGAGACCAAGGTCCATTGGATTCCACGCGGACGGTCTGAGGTTGTGTTATGATGGATGAAGGACAACAAACAAGCTCAAACATCAACAAGCTTTTAATCTCGGATCGTCCAAAAGCGCACACTTGACCACGAGGTCTGGGTTACAAAGGATTGTGTCACGTGACGTATACGAGGCAAAAAATAACACAATGATATCATAACATCCTCCCCTGTTTAAAGAACTGAAAGAAAATACACTTAACTGTCAGGGGATAAAAGACCTAAAATGTTTCTAAATTAAAGTTACTGTTCGGAAAAGTTCTCAAGTCATGTAATCTTGGAAACGGACTGGGGGCCTTACAGTGCGGCCACTCCTTGTGATGGCCGAACTGAATGCCAAATCAGCAGGAAGAGCTGTTGTGCTTGAATCAGCTGAAACAGGTTTGGGTCCTTCAGAATTCTTAGTGGGTGATGCACACTGGGTGAGGACCTGACTATCATCTGTAGGACGTGACTGCTTACTGCTCACAGGATTGCACATTGCTTGATCGGTGGTTGGAACCAAACGTAATTGTCTACGATTTCTACGATATGTGCGGTTACCAGAAACAACAGTGTAGGATCGTGGTCCAATCATTTTCTTGCAAACAGCTTCAGTCCAGGTCTTTTCATTTGGTTTCTTCATCCTGACAATCTGACCAGGTTGTAGTTCAGGCAGTGCTTTTCCTTTGAGGTTGTAATAGTACGCCTGCTTTTGTCTGGAGGCAATTAGCCTTTGCTGTACATCTTGCGGTGGCACTGCCACAGGTTCAAGCTGTTTGGGTGTCAGCGATAGCAGGTTGCGCGTTCTTCTGCTGAAAAGCCTTTGGGACGGAGAGGAGCCAACATCCGTAGGTGTATTGCGATAGTCTAAGAGAGACAGATACGGGTCAAACTTTCCCCGAGCTGCCTTCTTCATGATGTTTTCACACATTTTTACTGCACTCTCCACCTTTCCATTGCTTTGTGGGTTGCGGGGCGAAGAGTTAATATGCTTAAAATTCCAGTCTTCTGCAAACTTCTTGAACTCATAGGAATTGTACTGAAGACCGTTGTCAGATACCACTATCTCTGGTATCCCATGACGGCTAAACTGCATCTTCAGTTTCTCAACAACAGTTCTGGAATCAGTGGTATCTAGCTTGTCCACTTCAAAGAACGAGGAAAAGTAGTCAACGGTTATCAAGTACTGGCGTCCATCAAATTGCATCAGGTCTGTTCCAACCTTTTGCCAGGGCCTCGTAGGAATTTCATGTGGCATTAGAGGCTCTTGGGGCTGCTGTGGCTTAAAAGAGTTACAGACATCACACTTGAGAATAAAATCTTTCAATTCGGCATTCATCCTGGGCCAGTAGAACACTTTTCTTGCTCGGCGGAGACATCCTTCGATACCCAGGTGGGACGAGTGAATCTTCTCCATCATTTCTTTTCTTAACTGGGAGGGTACAATAATACGTTCACCCTTGAACAGCAAACCATTTTGGACAGTGATGTCTCAAGGTCCATACCTTGAGAAGACTTCAAACCAAGCAAAGGTGTAACCTTTTGATCAACTATAACAAAGCTCAAATCATGCTTGCTGCCATTATGCTCTACTCTCAACCTAGCAAAACCCAATGCCTTTCTCTTTCAATGATCATGCATAACCAGAGTGATATCTTTAGGAACAATGTTTGTACACTGACAGTCATTAGTGGCTCTAATATAATCTTCAAGTGGTAAGATGTTTGCTGAAGAGCCTGTATCAATCTGAAATGTTACTGAAGCAGCGTCATTTAGAGTAACAGGAACAAGGGCTTGATCTTTTCCACCAATATTATTTATGTAAAAAACTTCCTCAACATCATTGACATTAACTTTCTCAGACTTACCACTGCGACATTTGACTACAAAATGACCAACTTTGCCACAGTTTTTGCATTTCTGTCCGACCACAAAATAGGCCACAAAATAGGCACTCTTTAGACTTACTGTTAGACGATGGGTTCCGAGTCGAACTCTTGCGAGGCTTTCCTTTCTCTTGTGCTCTAGACTTGTGTTTCACAGCACTAACATCTTCTTGACTTGATACTTCACCCGCAATTTCCGATGCTCGTGAATGAGTAACTTGACTTGCTTTGATCGTTTCAATTGCCTTATCCAAATCGAGATCACGCTTTCCAAGGAGCTTTTCACGAACCCTGTCATCTTTCACTCCCAGAACTAATCGGTCGCGAACGAGCGATTCACGGAGCGTTCCAAAACCACAAGACTCAGACAATTTCATTAATGCAGTTACGTAGCTGTCAAGGGACTCGCTTGGCAACTGATCACGTTTGAAGAAAACATACCTTTCGTACGTTTCATTTCAAGCAGGAACACAGCGTTCTTCAAACTTTTCCAGTACCTTATCGATTTTCAAGGCGTGAGACGGATTGTCCCATTGAAAGTTTTCATACATGTCCATTCCTTCCTTTCCAACGAAATTTAATAAAGAGGCAACGCGAACTTCTTCCGACTTTTATGAATGCCAGCTGCTAATTCATAAAATTTCCATTCTCGACGAAACAGTTTCCAATTCTCTCCTTGGTGCAAACGGTCGGATAAATTCAGCGGCGAGGGAATTTTGGCGGTTGTGCTGACAGCGGCCATATTTGTGATTATGAATGAACGCAGACTATAGCCTTCACCACCAGCTACGAACTGCGAACAAGGCGTTTAAGCTTTCAGAAATCGCGGCAACAAGAGTAAACTTAATGTCTCGGTTGACTATCCCACTTCTGACACCATGTTATGATGGATGAAGGACAACAAACAAGCTCAAACATCAACACGCTTTTAATCTCGGATCGTCCAAAAGCGCACACTTGACCACGAGGTCTGGGTTACAAAGGATTGTGTCACGAGACGTATACGAGGCAAAAAATAACACAATGATATCATAACAGGTTGTTTCACTTATCACCCAGTCTATGGCTACTACAAAAAAGATTGGAGAGAGAATAAAACTCTGTTGTACTCTAGACTTGATGGGGAATGACTCTGGCAGAGTATTCTCTAAGATAACACTGCATTCGAAGAGTTCATAAAATTTCCTTCTGATGGTAACAATCTAAGGTAGTAGTCCGTATGCCCTCAAGATCTTCCACTCTGTCGAATGCTTTCTCAAAGACAGTGAAGTTGGTAAACAAGAGAACATTCCATTCAATGCACTGTTCAGTGATGTTCTGGAGAGGAAAATCTGGAACAATGCAGCCTCGGCCTGTACGAAATCTAGTCTGTTCGGGTCTCAACTTGGGATCTATGTCACTATCAATCATTTTGAGGAATGTTCTGCAGAATACCTTGCTGGAAATGAGCTGAAATGGAGAGAGGTGTTACGTCTTGCCACAGTTCTTACAGTTGTTGAGGCCCCCTTCTTTGGAATCTTGTGAATCATCATCATCATCATCATCTAACGATTTCCCACATGGAATGTACGTATCTAGCCTGCGAGCAAGCTCTCTGGGGAGCTCTTGGGTGGGCCCTGTACACGAGATTGCTCCCATGCGAAGGATACACCCGTGACACGGCGACAACAAGAAAACGTCACTACGTGTAGATTGATACTCATGTTAAGACTCCCCAGTAGAGAGGAGAGGCTGTTACGTCACGTTACCATGGTAGCAAAATCTGGATGACAACAAACCAAAAACGTGAATTCGCACTTTTTCAAACTTCATTGATCTTATTCAACTTCATTTAATTTGCCAAGTGTTGGCGAAATTCTCTGGGGTTGAATCGAAAGGAACCATATCTTAGTTAAGAAACAAAAGGAACATTTTTGTGTTGTGTTCACCTACTCCATAAATTGATTAGAACGTTTCATGTCGCCGTCGAGCAATGAAAGCTAAAAATTGTACAATACACGTGATGCACGTGCAAAGTTACCCTATTAGAGGAAATTAACACTTCATGAAATTAAGGTATTAGAAATTAACGCCACTTAAATTAACGCGAATTTAGTAGAAAACGACTTTTGAATAAATGAAATTAACTCGCGAAAGAGAGGGTAACATTTCAAAATGAAGGAAATTAACTCGACGTGCACAAAGAAACAAAACTTGCTGAGACAACAGCAACGAAGATTAAACGTGAAATGCGAAACGGAAACTTTGTTCGTGGTTTTTTCCTTAAACGTTAAGCGAAGAAATCTGGCCACTGCAAGTTCTTCACAGTTTTACTGTTGCTGGCGGATCTTCACCCTGATAAAGTACTCCTCTTTCTTAGGTCTCGAGAACGTCAGAAGTGTATTGAGAATTTGGGGTCAAAAAACATGGAAGTTAAGGTCGCAAAATTAACGCTACACTTAACTAACGTCGCGGAAATTGACGTTTGCGGAAATTAACTAGCCTGCGAGAACATCCGTTTCTCCTCGCTCTTCGTCGCTGAGGACGTTTCGCGCGGAGGAACGTCTGCGACTCAGTGACAGAAATTCCATACTGATGACGCAAATCAATGTTTACATAATAAATCCAGTAGTCATGGGGTTCCAAATATAAATTTGTCTAATTTTGCGTGTCCTCTGGTCGATTTTGGTAAAGTGTTGTGTTGATCTGCCCACGAGCTCCAGCAAAACTTTAATGCTTCTTCTAGAGAAGACTATATTCCACAAATATTGACTGTTTTGTTAGAGATTCTTCGTGTTTACATTTGACCTTTTTGGCCTTTTGTCTTTTGTCTGTCATTTGTAAACAATAGTTAAAACAATGTAACTGCTCCGTCGACCAATCAGCGCTTCTGACCGGATTCTGGACAGATTTTACGTCATCAGTATGGAATTTCTATCGCTGAGTCGCAGACGTTCCTCCAAGCGAAACGTCCTCAGCGACGAAGAGTGAGGAGAAACGGGTGTTTTCGCAGGCTAGAAATTAACGGGACTAAAATTAATGGGAATTTTTGAAATTCGCGTTCATTTCCTATGATAAGGAATGGTTTTGCTAATATAAACCATTGCTTTTTTGCCGTTTTCGTTGCCGTCGCCGTCGTCGTTGCTTAAACTGTTTTTATCCAGAAATTTGGCTCTCTTGGTAACGTGACGTAACACATCTCTTCTCTATTACACTGCCTCCAATCACTATACGAATAAATCTCGGGGTTCTGAGAAAACACTTGAATTCGCTTAAGCTGTTTTCTTAGAAGTAAGATGTGCCAGGAAGGGGTACCTGCCACGCAGGCCAAAGTGGTAAGAGCAGAGGAGACTACTACGCTTCCCCCGTCACGCCACCACGGCGTTGCTCTTCACCCATACATAATTTCCTACTCTAAGTAGTCTTTCTTTCTAGAAATGCATTCGCTAAAAAGTAGAGATTTGTTTATAGTGGAAATGCACATACATTTCCCCGCATCCTGTTTTTGGCCTTTTTTCCCCACTGCAGAGCCTGGTCCCAGGCTACTGGAGGGCTAAAATATAGCCAATGAGTGGTGCCGGATCTCCCAGTTGTAGACCTGGATCAGTACAATTAAACTTAAATAGGTTTAAATATATAGTTTTTGTTTTATTCATTTGTTTACTTCTTGATCGCCTTGCCGTTAGAATCAGTTTACCGTTTCATACTTTTCTACTGGAGGGCTTGCAGAAGCCCGCTATGATAATTGTGTCGCCGCATGTCACCTGTCGGGAGGCACTAGGACTCTCTAGTTTAGAGACACTCTTTGATCGGAGAAAGGTTTAAAGGGCCGAAATGTTTCAGGACATACATCAATAATCCCCAGAATCGCGAATCATACTTATTTTTACCAAAGGTTAAAGGGCCGAAATGTTTCAGGACAAACATCAATAATCCCCTGAATCGCGAATCGTACTTATTTTTACCAGAGCCAAACAAATGTTGTGTTAGTAATTGTCTTAATCTGAAAAATAACCGAAGATGTCACGTTAACCGTCGCCAAAACAAACGGACTAAAAAGAATAGTATTTTTTACAGTCATGTATATCAGACGATTTTATTAGGTGATTTTTTTCTAGATTACATTGTAGAGCTTAAACAAAATTATTTGTTGTCATTTTTAAAGGTTTACCCGATTTACCGCTAGATAAACTACTTACTGTATCTGTCTACATCATTAAATGTTTTCTCTTATTCCCATATCACTTAGTATGTCAAAAGGTCCCATACACGAGCGAGTCAATTTCAGGTAGGCTACGTAGCAGGAGTCCCAGTCTCCTGCCTGGTGGGGAGTACCGCGGGCGCAGCGAAACACCCACGGCTGGAGACTGAGCCTAGCGCAGCAGACACTTGTAAGTAACATGGGCGCAAGAAAGAAAAAAAAATCGGAATTACTTTCCTCCTAGATATGTATTTGCTATAGATACTGACTTTCTAATCGTGCATGAGATCGGATAGAGGCCCTGGAAAATCGTAATTAAACATTTCAAAGTCTTCTTCAAAGGCCTTACCCAGCTGAGCGATCTTCTCCTTGGGTATCGGGGCATAGCTTTTAAGAAGTTGACTTGTAGTATTGTGGGTAAGAAACGGAGGAAAGGTCACCGCCCGATCCATTCCTGTTTGCCGTAGGATATAAGGTGCTTCTTCTGGTATGTCCTCAAAATGACCGATGAAATCGTACTCTATATCACACGCGTGACAAATTGAGCCGTACGATCGCCAGTGTGCATCTGCATCAAACCCAACATCACTCACATAATAAATGAACTTCTTAAAAGTAAGATCCTGGTCAGAACTATTGGAGCTGAGTTCATCTTGTTCGTATCTTTCCAAAATTTTCGTTTTATAACTTTGAATCCTCGTCCAAGGCCATTGGTTGTTTACAAACTTGTTATTGTAGGCTGACAAAAGCCTCTCGAGTGGTTCGCGAACAAATAGAAACTTAAAGTAAGATTTTAGCCTCACTTTAATATCCTCGTCCGAATAATCATATAAGAGAAATTTATAATGTTTATTATCATGCACATCATCCACATCGATGCGGTTATCAAGAGCAAGAAAGACACGTTTCCATTGACTGCAGGCCACCTTGGGAATATAGCAGAAGATTACTTTGTACTCGTCGTTAACAATTATAGGATGATCGTATCGATCGCTTCGATTTCTGCTTGAAGCGTGCTTCTCACAGTAGTCTATGAGTCGCTGCTGTCGCTCACTTTGTCTCTGTTTAATCCGCTCCAAAAGGTGATCATCCTTCTCTATCTGAAAAGTGGATTGACTAACGTGAGAGCTTTAGCCAGAAGGTTCGATTAGAAATCAGGACAATCAGGATTAGTTTGGTCGGTAGGGGCGCTTAAACCGTGTAAACCGGCGGCAAGTAGTGTCCCTAATTAGTACTTTAAATACAACATTGACACTCAAATAAAGTGCATTTTTTACACAAACAGGCTAAACAGGACATGAAACAAGCAAATTTTTTACGTTTCTGGGAAACTGCCCACCTACCCCTCCCCTAAGCCAGCATTTTGCCCTAAGTGAGAAGTAAGTGTTAATGTTGGCTTAGGGGAGGGGTAGGTGGGCAGTTTCCCAGAAACGTAAAATGATCCACAAAGTCTTCTACCTACAACTCCAGCCGGTCCGTACTACCTTTACCATCTCTTAATTCTTTAGTATAGTTGAGACTTTGTCGACACGAGTCCATTAAAAAGACATTAAACGATCTCGCAAACAAAACGATCGTTAAAGAGGATAAAATCGTGACAGATAAATATTAGCCTGCGTAGCAAGCGTTTCCGTTTCGGAATTTTCGGTTTTGGCCTCGTGGAACCGCACAGAAACGCCTTGGCTATGCCGGCTAGATAAACATCATTCTCCTATACTATTAACACCTGTAATAACACGACATGATTTAACCTACCTTGAGTTCTTTTTTAGCAATGCCTGCTGTTTTATCTACTTCGGGCAAGAACCTGACCACTTCAACATCTATGGAGGAAGTAATGTAAGTTACAGGGACAACAAAGATGAAAAATAAAAATTACTATCGAGTTAAAATAAACCCTCTCTTTAACTGCAATTTTTCTTGACCAATAGTTATCATTATTGCCCGCGCCGACAAATCCTTGGCCTGCCCTTAGCGTTTCCTTGACAAGAGTCCTTGTTGAGTCATTACCGCTGGCAAATATCAATCCTGACAAGTGTTCAGTCTTGACAAGGAGCTGCCAAGGACAACTTCTGTAGGAAACATCTCTGACGTTAATTAGCCATAAAAAGCCATTTATATCACTTGCCCAATGAATATGTGATTAAAACCTTTCTGTTAATAATATCTAACAAAGGAATATTGCTTATCCAAATAATCGCAGCATTATATCATGTGTAAAACCAAGAGTGATTGATTCACCTTCAGTCGTAACCATTTAAGTAAAGGTTTTAACACATTTAAAGGAGAAAAAATGCAAAACATATTTATTTAACGAGACATTTTAATTTCTGAGTTTCAAACTTTCATTACCCAAGGCTTTCTGTAAAACAAAAAAATAAAAATAAAGAATAAAAAGTTGGACACTGAATCTTTTGGAAAACCTTAAGGTAAAAAAGAAGTAACAAATGTAAAGACGGGAGTCTCCAATAGACAGTCATTTCATCGCTAGAAACTCTGGCTAGTTTGAAGTTAATGCAGGAGATGGCGATTATTTTTCTTTGTGAGGAAATTTTGATAGAAACGTATTGCAGAGCATCAAGTTACATGCGTTACGTTTGCCATATTTCTTGGTCCAGTTGAGCGTTCCTAATGGTTAAAGAAGGGTTCAACTGCACATTAATTAGAAAAAAAAAAAGCAGGAAGGATTCAGTTATGTAGCACCCCGTGAAACATTGGATTTACACAAATTTACTCGGTGTAAATATCGTGCAAAAAAGTGCGAGCTAGGGGGAAATTAAAAGCAACGATGGTAAATACGGCATTTGCTTGCCAGTTTACAGGAGGGTGTAAATTTTAGGGCAAATGCGGTATTTATGATCTTTACCCTTTATTTAACCTTAGTTTACACTTTTTTGCACTAAATTTGCCCTAAGTAAATTTGATGTAAATCCAATTTTCGTGCAGTGTGGTGAACTGTGGCAGCAGTTTTGATACACGTCATTTATGCCGCATACTTATCTGACGAAAGGAAAGTGCGCGGAGTGAAAGCACCATTTTTCTATTTTTGAAGTTAGTTAGTTAGCCAACAAACGAATAACGAAAATCAGTGTCCTTTATCGGTCAAGATATATACAAGAATTGAAATTTGAAAAAGGTTAAATGGTAGCTTACCTCGGTACAGAGCAACCATGTACATGGCCAGCAGAATCAGTAAAATGATCAGAGATACAAACAAATTTCTCCGAAGTCGAACAGCCATTAAAGAAATGAAAATAAGATACTTTGTCGGTTTATATTCAACAGTTGATCATTTGTTTGTTGCTCAGCTTTGCTTTATCGTTTGTAAGGTATTTCTCTTTACCTTCACATATGCGCAGTACTGACTCTGATCACGTGCCTTACGATATTTACTCGAAGAAAGCAGCGGAGCTCATTGAACTTTTCTTCTTGCCGCGCTTTGTTTGGGGGCGGCGTTTATTTGGAAACAAAGCTTATTCAAAACCTCTTATTTGCCAGTAACACAGTACCACGCGCACGTTACTATCTAGTTATTTCAAATTGTCTGTACCATATTTGAGATGGAAGCCCAAAAGCGGAGCTTCAACTAGCCTAACTGCACGTATTTACTTGAAAAAATAAACTTGAAATCACTACAAAGCAACCTTGTAAAAAATGTATATGTATGTTTGGTTTCAAAATATCAGGTTTCGTGTGGAAAGGGCCTTACACTCGGAGTACATCAACATAATTGACACTTAATTGAGGGGCGGCTTACAGGGCTTTCCACAAGTTTCTCCGCAACTTTTTGGCAACTTCTCGTATTTGGAGCCTCCGACCTCCCTTAACGCACGCGCACCAAATCCAGCTCAATCATCACTGTTCCTCTTCGCAGTTGGAGTCAATCTCAAGGCACCTTTGGGTATCCTATCACTGGGTATCCTTAGGACATGATCAAGCCATTGCAGTCTGTAGTTCTTGATTTAATACTGTCTCAGTTCTTATGACGGTCGATGTAGGGTCGATGTGGGGTCGATGTAGGGTCGATGTGGGGTCGATGTAGGGTCGCTAGGAGATCGATGTATTTGTGGATGGAAAAATATACAGAATAAATGAGGAGGTGGAGGTGAAGGAGGGGAATAAAAAACATTGAGGAGGGAAAATGATAAAAATTGTGGAGGAGGGAATAAAAACATTGAGGAGGGAAAATAATAAAATTGTGGAGAAGGGAAAAAGAAAAAATTGAGGAGGGAAATAAAATTGAAAAGGGGGAGGGGTAAGTAAAACATGACTTGCTTTCTTTGACTGTTTTAATAGATTTCTTTCAAATCGCTGTGTATTTGACTCTTTTTGTTTTAAACGGTATCTCGTGTCAGATTTTATTGCTAGCAATTATTAGTCGCGTGTTTTAATTGATCCTTGTTAAGTTATTTGTTTTATAATAATACGTCAAGGTGCTCCCTTGGGTCTTTCCTGTAGAGCAAATTTGTATTCAACTTTGGGCTTGTGAACTCGCATAATTAACTGACTAACAGTGCGTGAAATTACAAGACGTTAATAGTTTTTCATTTCCTCGAGATAGAACGGAGAAAACGTCAGACAAAATTGAAATGGAGTTTTCAGTTCTACTTTGTGTATTTTGTTTATATATATCCGAGTTTTAGAGCTCAATAAGAAGACATAAACTAAACGGAAATAAAGACTTTTCAACTCCACTTTGTGCACATGTGTTTTGTTTATATATCTGAGTTTTAGCGCTAAATAAGATATAGGAAGCCGTTTCTCGCGCTGCTAGGTGATCGCTTCTCTTATTCCTATTTTCCTTTTAATAGACTGTCCGAAAACCGAGCTCAAGTTACTTCACGGGCAAGTCTAGGCAAGCCTATTGTTCCTATTGTAGTAGAGTGACGCTCATTAGTAAACCTAATCCAAATTAGTATGCAGGAAGACACTTAATTAGTATGGAGGAACCCAATTTTTCCCTAGGTTATAACAATGGGTGACGTCATTGACTAGACCCATATGCCTATTAATTAAGGGAATCCACTTTCTGCGAGGGAATCCAAAGGGAATCCACCAACGGGGTTAAGTTTCAACATAGTAGACTACTCCACTGGATTCCACGGGGACGGTCTGAGGTTGTTTCACATATCACCCAGCCGATGGCTACGAGAAAGAAGATTAGAGAGAGAATAAAACTCTTTTGTACTTTAGACCTGATGGGGAATAACTCTGGCAGAGTATTCTCTAAGATGACACTGCATTAGACGAGCTCATAAAATTTCCTTCTGATGGTAACAATCTAAGGTGGTAGTCCGTATGCCCTTAAGATCTTCCACACTGTCGAATGCTTTCTCAAAGACAATGAAGTTGGTAAACAAGGGAACATTCCATTCAATGCACTGTTCAGTGATGTTCTGGAAAGGAAAATCTCGAACTATGCAGGCTAGGCCTGTACGAAATATAGCTTGTTCGGGCCTCAACTTTGGATCTATGGCACTATCAATCATTTTGAGGAATGCTCTGCAGAATACCTTGCTGGAAATGAGCTGAAATGGGGAGAGGTGTTATGCCTCGCCACAGTTGTTACAATTGTTGAGGCCCCCTTGTTCGGAATGGTGTGTATCAGGCGAATGCTCCAATCTATAGGAATACCTAAAAGATTCCAGATCTTAGCAAAGAGATCGGCAAGCACCAAGGATGAAGTAGTGGCGTCTGCCTTTAGCAGTTCTACTGGACGCGAATCAATTCCTGGAGATTTTCCATTCTTCATTGCCTTAATTGCAGTCTCCACATCAGCTTGAGAAGGTGGGTTGCATGTTGTAAATGTTCAGATCATCCGAAGGGTCCGGGTTCACAGGCTTATTAAGCTCTGGCTGGTTAAGCATTTCTTTGAAACGCTGGACCCATCTTGCAGCCAGTTCCTTTTCAGTTGTCATCACTTTTCCTTCCTTTTCTTTGTCTTGCTAAACTGCTTAATGATCTTGCACACAGTGCATGTTGAGGCCTCCCTTAGCAGCAGCTATCTCTGCTTTATCAGCTAGCCGTTTCCAGAACGACTCCCTTGTCTCTTCGGGCACTCCTCTTAACCTCTTTGATCTTATATACTTCTTTTTCGCATTCAGTCAGTCTAAGGGACTTAACACACACCAGGTTATCTTTGGCTTTCCTCCTCTCATCGATTTTCCTTCACGCATCAGGTATAATCCGTATAATCCATTGCTTATCTCTCTTCTTTCTAAGCCCTAAGACAACATCTGCGGTTTCTTTATTATACAATATTATGACGTTATTCCAGGCTGTCTCGACCGTGTCCTGATTTTCCACATCTTCAATTTCAAGTGCACTGAAGCGGTTGCTAAGCCAGTAGTGAACTCCCTTTTAACCTTAGGTGCACAAAGCTGTTTGATGTCTTAGTGGCAAGTACTGCTTGTAGTTTCAACCTGACCTTGGCTATTAGCAGGTGGTGGTTGATGCCAACATCTGCCCCATGATTGACTTTGGCATCCCAAAGAGAACTTTGCTGTGCTTAGGGGCGGAGCATTATTTTCCCGGAGGACGGAATGAGGAATTTTCCTCTGCAAACATTTCACCTTCACCTTCACCTTCCTGCAAACAATTTTTCCCTCGTTTTTGTCTTTGGTGCTAAAGGAGCTTACTACCCAGGCTCCTGGCGCTAACAATTACCATATAAAGCTTATTATAGCAATTTTCGAAAAACAATCAATAGTGCTATGGTTTTTTTTTGCCCATTAGCCTGTTCCAGGCTCTCAGATCGTGACAATGACGGGTAAGTAAAAGGCACGTGAAAGGTCGGTTAAGGGGGCGGTGGTGGCCCTCCTCTCCCCAGTTTCCTCCCATTTTATTTTTGTGTTCGTGTATTCTCAATTTCGCGGACATGACTATATCTCGGAGCTTGAAACAGGCTATTTGTCTATATGCACTCCGAGTAATTGATGGTTTGTGTTTTCTTTATTCGTCTTCTTTGGTAGCTACTGACGCAAATAAAGGGCATACGATAGGGAATAGGCAAAGGGAGTTGCAGGTTTTCTCAATTTTTGAGCTATTTTGAAAAAATAGCTCATATGTCAGTGGTGTGAGCGTATGTATCTTTGTGGCTTTGTATGTTGGGATGTTTGTTGCAAGAGCCAATAAGGGTGAAGGTACTATGAGTTGATGCTTAGGAACCAATGAGATCTTGGCATCTATTTAAACATGGCATTGGTAAAGGTCTAACAAGGGCACTTTGAGACCGCCATCTTGATCCTTCACAATTTTTTCGTCTTTTATTATGGGTACAGGTGTTTGGAAGCATTACATAAAATATCTTCATTATTCGAACGCTGTGAACAGTACGTGATGCAGCTTTTTAAGGGTTCATATTTTATACCTGCGGACCATTAGAAAACTTTTATCCTGGGGGCGGGCGTTTGAAAACGACAAAAAAAATTCGCGCAAAGGAAAAATTAAATGAAAAAATTCTTGCAATCCAATTAACCCGAAGAAATATTCATTTATTCATTTTACACATGGTTTTCGTTCCTGAAAAAAATTCATATTTTTGGAAATTTGATAACGAAAAAAACATTTTTCAATGCAGCTCGAAAAATTGGTCCGCCGTGAGCCGTGAGATAACTTTTCTAATGGTCCGTCCCTTAAGTGTGGATGCTGCTTCGAGGCATTTCTGACCTAATTCGGCTATCGGTACAACGCACGTCAGTGTGAGTTCTGTTTCACCTGCTACAACTGGGTATAGTATAAAAGATCATATATTTTCAAATCTCTTCCAGTGAAGCAATAATTGATATTTAGATATAGACTTTAATTCGAAGGTAGGGGCCCTATAAAATGTGGTTTTAGAAGTTTAAAAGGCAGCTTATTTTTTTGACAGCTGTATCGAGTATTGTTAATCCTGTAAACAAGCTTTAAAAAAATTATTCTCTCGCTTACAAAGTTCAACCGACCTTTTTCGTTCTATTTAGTAAAGATGCGTAACTTAAGTAGAAACAGTAGCGTTAGGGAATAAAATTGGAAGAAGCTAGTTGACACAATAATTAGATACTGTTATATTGAGTGGAGTAACATGATATAAGTAGAAATATATTTCGGCAGTTTGATAATTTTCTTGCAAGTTAATAAATGTTGGGCTATCAACCTTGACGTTGCATGAAACATAATTTAATTGCAGATGTTGTAATAAAGCCGAGGTGATTTCTTAAAATCGTTTGAGAAAATTTTATAGTAAAACAATTTGCCTCTTTT